GTGGATGCTATCAAAAGAGTTACAAGCTTACATGACGGAAAATTACATGTACTTGAAATATGCCTTTACAAAATGCCAGCCTGACATTAAGCTGCTTTATAGAGGTATCATGTCCTTAAATAGCCTGGTGATTATCTGTGTCCCTGGAGCGCTATTTTCTGCCCTGATTTTCTAATACTCCGGCTGTCCCTAATCACCGCAGAGTGTCACCAGTTTGGGAAAAAAAAATCTTAGAAGGAAATTAATTTTGATTTCCTTAGACATTCTAGAGAGTTTTTTTTTTAGTAAAGCTGGATGGAAAGCCAGCCTTTTTTCCCACAATGACCAGGTATGGCAGTTAGTTCCCTGTGAATATATTAATCCTGGCTTGCCCACCCTTAAAAAGCAAAAGTATTGTCTGTGTGGCCAGTAACATGTTAACCATGCTTCATGAATTATCTCATTTAATTCTCATGAAATCTGTAAGGTAGGTTATACTATTAGACTCATTGAAGTTTAAATACAGGGAGACTGAGTGAGTTGCCCAAGATGACTCCCTGACAAGTCAGCAGCCAAATGGAGATTTTAACCCAGCCGGACTATTTCCAGGGCCTATGTTCTCCATCAGTGTGTTATACTGCTTCCTCAAAGGATGAGTTCCACTGAGACACCTAGGTTGGGAGGGTGATGTAAATTAATTAAGAAATATTAAAAAAACACAAACAAACAAACAAAGAAATACTTACAGAAGGGACAGGGAGAACAAGAGAAAGCATACTTCGCCCCCACCCCCTTGTTTTTAGAAAGTTGTGGTTGAGAAAACAAGAAGAGATTATGGTTGCACAAAACGGGGCAACAGGAAGTGTGAATAAGGAGCACACATGTAGAAAGTAAAGCACTTTACAAAGGAAGGCAGCTGGAAGTTTTCTGTTTGCAGTGTTTGTCTGAGCTCTAGCCAATGCTACCAAGATCTCCCCAGAAAGAATTCCCCCGTGAAAATACCAACATGGTAGGAAATGTTGTAATTATATTTTTTATTATCCCCCAGAGAATACATTAGTATGGCAGATATGGCTATAATTTAAAAAGAAAACTGCTATGTAACAAACATAAGAGCTGATGAAATAAAACAAGCTAATTTTTCCTCTTCTGGTATTAAAAAAATGCAGAGATAAAGAAGGGATTCTCAGATATTATTCTGTGTCCGTTCTAGAGTATAGCTGTAATTAGACAAACAACTATGGTTCTTAGTTGCTCTATGTTTTTCTTTTTTGAATAAACATATATTCAGCCTGTTCTGGACAATCTCCTGGAGGTTAGGTTGGTAAGAGTGAACAGTCCAAGAAATGATATGAGCACCACTTCATACTAATTGTTGCAGCAAAGGAAGCATTGACGTCTGCTTGATGCAAAGATGGCTCCTGGAGGGAGCACTTGTGTGGGTACTGTGTGATTGTTAGAGCATACTGACGTGGTAAGCTCTCCTTCATTGACCTCCAGCTTCTCTGAAGCTCTTGCCCGAGATACTTGCAAGAACTTGCACTCTCGCCAGTCTTGTCTGGCAATCTGGAGTATGGGAAAATGAATGTCCTGTGGGGCAACTCTAATTCTAAGGGAGCCATGAGTTGATGGTTAAATGCTTCTCTCTTTTGTCTCTTGGGCAGAAGACAATTCTCAGACCCATTCTATATATTTCCTCATAAGACTAGAAAATCCTGAAACTCATATTAGATAGCTCTTCATAAGATACCAGTAGAATGAAGCACAGTTGCCCATGGTGGTGTTCTTGAGAATAGGCCCCTCTGCTGACTTTCTCTCCTCTCCTGCTTCATTCTCTCTATTCTTCACTCCACTTCTGTTTCCTAGGATCATCTCCCCCCCCCCCCCACACACACACACAAAACAAAGAAGCCACTTGAATGCAATTCTTTATCCATATTCAGGTTCCACTTTTGTGGGGAACCCAGCGTAAGACAATGCCCCATCATGAAAGGTGCAATATTTATAGGCTGCAAGGTAATAGATGGTGTTTGTGCAAGGCTAGTATTGTTATTTAACATTTTTTTTCCTCTACCAGATCCTAAAATACTGGAATCCTGGAGGACTTAATCCTTAGTCCTCTTCTTGTCTTTATCTACAATCTTAGACCATTACCCACCACCTCTATTTTGATGGCTCCCCTAATTGTATCTTCAGTCCTGACCTCTTCCTTGAATGCCAGCATTATTTATTCAATTGCCTACATATCATCTTTATTTGGATATCCAACAGTCATCTTTTCCATCATCTGTACAAAATAAAATTCTTATTTACTTCCCAGTAATGCCCTGTAAAAATCCTCTTATGCCTCTAATCTCTCTTATGGCACCACCACCTTCTACCAATAGTTCAATCAAAGCAAATAAAGAAATCCGGATGTTCTTGGTTCAGCCCTTTTCACACATTTCCCAGCAAGTTCTAACAATGCTATGTCCATCTCCAGATCAGACCTCAAGTTCATCTACTTATTTCCACCTCCATTGCCATCCCCCTTGTCTTAAGAAAATTATCTTTTGTCAGGATCACTGACAAAAGCCAACATCAGTCTCTACATTGCATTAAAAATAGTTTAAACAAACACATATGCACTACTTGCCTCTTTAAAACATTCCAATGACTTTTTAAGGGACCTAGAAATAGTCTAGAACCTTCCCATGCTCCCAAGGCCCTGTATGACCTAGGTCCTGTTTATGTCATATATAATTTCTCCCTTGTTTCCTTAGGCTACAGCTATTGTAACACATTTTTACTCTTCCAAGAGCCTAGGCTCTATCTTTCTTCAGGGTCTTCCACTTTCAGAACCTTCTGCCTGAATTTGTTTTTTGTGCTTTTCACATGGCATACTTAGTACGGCGTTCCTCCTCCTTAGGCCTTGGTGCAAATATCTCCTACTCCGCAGTCGTTTGTATAGTGAGCACTTGTCTAGAATAGTGCACCCACCCTGGTTACTCTATTGCTTCTTGTTTATTTCCCTCATAAATCTTTTCATAAATATATATTGTGTCTTGAGCCATTTGTATTTTCTTTTTATCGCTCCAATTAGAAGGCAAGTCTATGAGGGTAGGAGTCTCAAACGGATCTGGCACATTTGTGGAATATGTTGATTAATAGGCTAATTATTTTTGAAAAATTCCTCTGGATGGGTACATGTGGGAATTTCTTCTTCAGTACACTGAGGCAAAGAGCCTGATTAACATTGTCGAATATTTTCTATGTTAATAACCCATAAATCTCTGTATCTTGGGAACCCTAATGAGGTCAAGAGATGATAGTTAACAATAATTTTTTTTGTAAATATGTGAAAACATCCTTATTTCTTGTTTTCTATGGTAGTGTTATTTATTAAGTAGGAAGCAAAACTAATGACTCATTCCTTAGCAATCAAATTTATTGTGATTACTTGCATTTTCAATAGTTTTATCTAAATAGGATAATTATGTCTGAGAAACATGAGGTTTTTATAGGAAATAAAGAATTCATATTAATCCAGTCTAGGATGTTTTTTTCTTATAAATATTACTTGGCCAACTTCTACTATAACTCTGCTACATAGAGAACAAAATTCCTAGTAATTCTTAACTTCCCTTCTTCTCGTTACACATAAATCCATTGTTTCAATTCCCTTCAAAGATATACACATCAAAAACTTTGATGCCTTTTAGTCCCAGATGCTTCTTTATTCTAGTTTCAGTTTTCATGCCTGTTACATCAGGGTGTGGTCCCCAGCTTTCTGAGTCAGCAAAGGCTGGATCTCTTTGCTGGTGCACTGGGGGCCAAGGGCCCTGTGTCCACTTTGGTAGCCTTCTTCTAAAATTTGGTAATGAATACCGCAAGTGCCAAAATAATGCTAATGCCTAGGTGATGAACTTTGTTTTTCATATTTATGGTAAAAATAAAAGTGAAACAGGTCCAGTCCTGTGTTGATAAAGTGTTAATACCAATTACTTTTTATTAATCTGAAAATATTTAGACATATTCCTTTCTCTATATCAAAGCCGACACTGCACTCTTAGGCAATTTGCTTTTTAAAGCAAAATCTTATATTACAGCATCTTGCACCTTTTTATAATTCAGGGTTTCTGCACACTGGGTTTTCCTGAGGAGATACACATGGCTGTTACTTGTGATTTAGGTTCTTGGTATATAATAATTTTCATAGGTGTTTTAACTTAAAAAAATAACTGGTCTATAATATATACATTTGTTAATTATATCCCAGTTTGCCAAAATGATTTTCTATCTTGCACCTGATTTTCCTTGTTACACTCGGAGCATCAGAATGACTCTCAGACTTTACAATACAGAGACTTTCTGTCATTTAACCTCAGGGTAAACTTATTATCCTCTTTATAATTACTTGATGGATATGAGAAATACCTCCTCAGGGTTCACTCCCATTAATGGATCTTGTCTTTTTATTTTTTATTTTTTTCAATTACAGTTTACATTCATTGTTATTCTGTACCAGTTCCTGGTGCACAGCTTAGTGTAGTGGTCAGACAACCATATACCCCACAAAGTGCTCCCCGTTATTACAATTGCCCGCCTTGCACCATACATAGTTACCACGATATCATTGACTCTATTCCCTATGCTGTACTTTAATCCCCATGGCCATTTTGTAACTACCATTTTGTACTTCATCCCTTCACCTCTTTCACCCAGACCCATGAACCTGCTCCCCTCTGGCAACCATCAGTCTGTTCTCTGGATCTGTGAGTCTGTTTCAATTTTGTTTGTTTATTTTGGTCTTTAGACTCCACATATAAATGAAGTCATATGGTATTTGTCTTTCTTTGACTTATTTCACTTAGCTTAATACTCTCTAGGTACTATGCCTTGTCTTGACTGACTTGAAAAGACCCAAGAAAATGATTGGACATATTTGATTGGTTGGGTGTTGTCCTTGATTGCCCTGACTAACTCTGCCCTCTTCACCTCCTGCTGCCTGGGCCCCTTGCTCAGTAATCCAATGTTCCTACCGTCAGCGCAGAGCAGTCCAGACCTCCCATACGGGCAGAGGCAGACAAAATCTGGCCTGGATTTAGGAACGCAGGTGGCACCATTTCTGCATGGGTCGTTTTCACAAGTTGCAAACTGGCACAGCTTGCCTGAGTACAGCCTTGGACACTCACAAAACCAGTCTTCACCGTCACTGAGAAGACAAAAGGAATTCTTAATCCAACCAGAGAATAATTGTTCTATTACACACATATACACACATGTAAATAAAATCACAATTACATCTTGTCTAATAAGTGGAATTTTTCTTTCTTTTAGGTGGAATTTTTTCTTCTCCATTTCTCTTTCTGTGTTATTTAACTTTTAACTGTTTGTAGCTGTGTACTTTGCATCAAAAGCAGATTAACAGCTTTATAGATTGTCTCAAACCATGAATTCTATTTTAAGCCATCTGTTCAGTTTTGATTTATCTCATCCTCTATTTCACACTGGGTGCCTTTTCAGGGCTTCATTAAATATGTGTGGCATTGCCTTAGTAAAGTGCTTCAGATATTTATTAGAAAAAAATTGTCTTCGGCTTAAAACTCAGATAATTTCAAGCCTGGTGACAAGCTTCCTCCACTGAGGACACTGTCTTCCAAAAGTGCCCCTGTGGTACTTGAAAAGAAAATCACAGTGGGGACCAAAATGACTTTGCAACTCTCTGGCTTAAAATATGGCTTGGAGGCCCCGGCATGAGAGTGCCTGAGCAGCTGCGCTCAGGAAAAATGCTCCCTCTCCTGCTGGGGGGTGTTCTCCACAGGGGAAAGTGACTTGAATCTGTTCTGCCTTCCTGTGTCCATTCCCCCTTTTTAAAGTAGCCCTAGCCTCAGTTTCCCTCATATACCCATCCCTCCATCGCTCTCAGCCCACACTTACAGGAGGGGCAGATCCTGACTCCTGGTGTCAAGCTCAGTGATTAGTGCAGGCCAAGCCAGGGCAACTGGCTTTTTTTTTTCAGGGGTTGCTAAACTGATAGCTGCTGGTGGCATCTGCTTACCCAGAGATGAGAGCCTGGCTGAGAGTAAAAAAGCTCATACCAAGCAACGCAAATATAAGAGACCAGAGGAGATAGATTGCTAATGCTATTATTTAGGCACCTGATCTAGCTATCACTCTGCAATTATATGAGCCAATTTAGTTTAACCCCCTTCTTAGTTTTTGAGTGAGTTTGAGTTGGGATTTTGTCACTTGCTGTTAAATGAATTCTATTTAGTATTAATGTCCTTTTCTTCCCATTTTTTTGTTCTTCTCATTATCTTAAATCCACAGAACCTTGCCATATATGGATCTTCAGGGTTTTATTTTTTCCTGCTTACATCTTATCTTGTAAATATGACTGTTAGCTTTTAAAGGTAGGTGCCAGGACCATCCCAAGAATTAGAAAGCTAGTATATTTTATCTTCATGACTCAGGGTCTCAATCTAGTTGGAGGTCTCGCCCATACCATGAGATTTTTCTCTTGTCTTTCTCATCATTCTGGTATTTTGATGCCTTCCTTACATATTTTAATCCCTTAGTCCAAAATAAATTTGCTTTCAGGAAAGTCTCAGATTCCTTCATACTAACGAATACCTGACTTCAAAATCTGAAGAGGTTTCCTTTTCCAAAAAGGCCTATACTTTTATATTAACTTTCTGTGTTAATGGGATGCAGCACTATGGAGAACCTTGGGATATCAGATAGCAGGTTAAGAGAGCTTTGGAGGGGTGTGAGGCTTTGAGATCCTCAGATTTTACTGACACATAAGGAGATTCCATAAGTGATTAGGAATTTCCTCATTTTATTGATGGCAATGTGCACAGGGCTTTGCACATAGTGTACAGATGTAGAATCTTAACAGGTTTTCAGAGTTGGGAATAAATAAAGGCCAATAGCACTAAGATGGTGATAAAGCTCCCTAGACAAACTCCTCTGTTTCTGGGCTATAAAACAAAGCTGCGAGGACAGTTGAGCCAATGCTATTCCTTTTTGCCTGAGAATTGTGGTAAAAGTATAACCAGACCACCTGGCAGGTATCTTCTGGTGGGACTTAAAGTGTTAGGAACCTCATGTTTTAGGGCCATGAATAAAACTAATGTAACATCACTTCTACTTACCTAACTTGGAGTTGAAAGCTCAGTATTAAACATCTGTGTTCTGGGATAAAGTCTAAAAGTGCAAGTCTTGAAAGCTGCATTCTGGAAGTACCAAATTATTCTTTTTATAGTAAAGGAGAATGCCACATGTATGAAAGTCAAATGGATCTAAATGTTGACTGACTGAAGTGCTTTAATCATATAGACCTAGCCATATTTGAAATGCAGGAAAGATGCTTTTATGTCGAAAACCAAGGAAAACACTAATTTTAATCATGTCCTATTGATAAATCAGGCTTCATTTCCTTTTTGCTTTCATCAGGTGTTGGGAGACGCTGGTTGTATAAAATCACGCGGATATGACTAACTGCATGCATCTGTGCACATCGGCAGGCAGCTAGGGCAGAGAAAAACAGGAATTCTGTAGAAAACATTCCGAGAAAGGGGAAAATCACCTTATCTGGCCTACCAAGGGCAAGTGTTCAAAGCCCTCTGGCCCATCTTAGTATTCCATAGTGTTTCATTAGAAGGAATCAGATTTAACCAATTGAGGTTTTGCCAGATGGTGGTTGGTCTCTGTATACTTCACTTCAAATTTTACCTTCAAGTCCAAAAAAACTTCCTGGAGTGCCAGATATTTTGCCAATAGTTTAAATAAAATCTGTTTGCTACCTGCTGTATAACACCTGGACCTAAAGTTTTCTCTTACTCAGATTTTACCAAAGATGCCATTACTAAATCCAAATTTCTTCAAAAGCTAGCAAGTCAGTTGTTTTTATTGTCACTTAAGTCACTTTGGTGTTTTGCCACACTCTGAAGCAATTGGCCATGCCTGTCAAGGAAGTGGTGCCCTGAGGTTGAAGAACCTTATGCAACAGTTCACTTTGGAAGCAGGGATTAACTGTTTCACCTTCCTTCGCCTGGTTTCTTTCTTTTTAAAAAATATTTCATTTATTTGTTTTTAGACAAAGGAAAGGAGGGAGAAAGAGGGAGAGAAACATCAATGTGTGGTTTTCTCACACGCCCCCTACTGGGGACTTGGCCCACAACCCAGGCATGTGCCCTGACTGGAAATCAAACCCGCCAACCTTTCCTTCACTGGTTGGCACTCAGCCCACTGAGCCACACTAGTCAGGGCCACCCGGTTTCCTTTAAATGTTGTTACACTGCTGTGAATTTGATGGCTGCTCTTTAATCAGTTATGGGAGAATATAGTCACATGAAATAAATACCTTTTCATTTGAGGAAGTTTAACAAGCTTACCCTTCTCAGACCTATGTACCATACAGAAAACTGTATTGCAAATCTTCCTCTAGGTAAGTCAGGGCACTTTTCTGAATTAAAAGTAGGTCTGGGAAAGACCCCAGATGTTGGTGAAATTTTTAACTTGCATGTTTATTGCCAATGGCTGCCAACCAATATTTGCTGTGCACCCACATCACAGACATAGCCATGTGCCATGGAAAAGAAGACTCGTCTCTGCTCTCGGTAGGAGAGACAATATAAGTTTGTGAACTAATATCTGTAAGACACAACATGTGTAATGTGAATTTACATACATATTTAAACAGTGGTGAGGACTTTAAGACCTTCTTAAAACTGGTCTCTGGGCTGGTGCCTGAGAGGATCTTCCCTGTGGCTTTCAAATGGAGGTTCCTGTGCTCCCCCTGCCCTCAGAGATTTTAATTTAGGTGATCTGTAGTCAGGCCCAAGGTTCTGCATTTTAAAATTGTCATCAGTGATGCTTTTGCATAGTCTATTTTGGGCTTAAGCCAGCTCCCTTGAGACAAATTTTCTCACTGGAGTAAAAACTTGATGGATATTAGTTACTATTGTGTCCTTAGAGGATGCGAGGGCATTGTAATTTTGTTTTTTGGGCTGCATTTTGACTTTTGACTAACATGTATCTGAAAACACAATACAAAGATTGGAGAATGTTTATTTACTAGTGCCATTTATGGCCTATTGCATGTGCATTATACTTGACAGCAACATGAAATAGGAAAAAATTCACTCATTTAAAAGCTTAGTTAAAAACATACCACCTAAGTGTATGCCAACATCTATATAATCTGGCACTGTAACTGCTACAGCATATTTGATTGCAGGTCACAGTATGGTTAGCATATCAAATGACTGTCATTAAATTTCTATGGGTATTAAAAATTATCTTTAGAAAATTTAACTGTTCAAAAAAATCGAAGACGTTAGTTTGAAAAGGATGCCTCCTATTTACATAACACAGCCAGATGCCTCAAAACCTTCTAGAACTAAAAGGACTTCTGCATATATTAACTTAAAAAAATAAATAACTCTTCCTGAATTTATTGTGCCTAACAGATTATCAGCAGATTTCAAAGTTGGCCACCCACAGTGTCGAGAGGCAGCTTCTCAGCAAGAATGTGAGCAGAATGAATCCTTAAGAATAATGTCTCTAGATACTTCTAAAAAATAAAATTACTATTGGCAGAAATAACCCATCTTTATGTATAGGCTGTCCTATATATAGAACAACAGCACAGGCATAAGAAAGAATGCAAATGAGATCCCCAGTAGCTGTGGTTCACAGGGAACTTTCATTCTGTTTTCATGAATTTCACACCCCTGTAAGAGTCTGATGGCTACAAAGCTATACCTGCCTCCCCTCAAGCCTCCTTAAAATGTTGAATTCCTTTCAAATGAGTTGAATATTTCATTTTTTTCTTTTTAAAAATAGCCAATGTGAAAATAATAGAAAACAAAAGATGAAAAGTCAAAATTATCTTAGGTGGCCTAGAAAGTGAACTTGGAGAATATGGTCCATATAATAAACCCATGAACAGAGAGCTTAGGGAGAATGTCCTGCTTCAGAAGCTTTTTTTTCTTTATAAAAAGATTTTGCTAAGGCAGACACAAAGAAGATGAAAAAGAGTGAGAGCAATAATAACAATCATAGAATCACATGTAAAGAAATAATATATAAAACAGGAATAACTTGCAAATAATATAAAATATTTCTGTTTCTACTTGTTTTAGGATCTGTCCAATTTAATTTTATGGGTATTTTACATAGAAAAATTGGTTTATGTTATAATCT